GGAATAATCCTCTGTGGTTTTCAGCTCTATCTTCTGGGCTTATGACTCTTCCCTCTGAGGTTGAAGATCTATCCTTGGAGTCATCCTCCCTCTTTTATCAGAGGTAGCACATATTTGCAGCTGAATAGTTTTAGCACCCTCTCTCCTAACTGTGGGACTCTTCTGAGTCCTACAACTTTTTTCATTTTGATCTCTGTATCTCTTCCAGTCCAAGCTGGCAATGTTATTGCCAGTATAAAATTGTCAATAACCTTGTGATTCTCCTTTGTATGCCACAGGAATTTACATCATTATACTAGAAGCTCTTTCACAAACCTTTCTTAGGTAATTTCATCTCTATTTTTGGCTTCTGCTCACATGGTTGAGGGGATCCATGAGTCACATGCCTAATCTCTTGAAAGAGATCTCTTTGTGACTGAATACTCTGATCTTCTGACCCTTCTGAGACATTAGAAAAAGGCCTTCTAGCCATACTCCTGTCTTTCTTACCAGAACACTTTTGCTTAATAGTGAACCTTCTAAATTTAGTGTCTTTTGCAATCTGAATACCTAAGAATTTTTCATTTTATCAAGTCCTGGTTCGTTTTTGATTAAGTTCTTCCCTCTTTCTCGTATCTTTCTTCTTGCATCTCACTATAAGAAGCAAGAACAAACTAAGCCACACTTTTAAGCACTTTGCTTGGGAATTGCCTCAGAAAAATATCCAAGTTCTCTTATAAGTTCTGCTTTTCATATAATTGTAGGGTATAGTTTTGTTAAACCTTCTCCTACTATATAACAAGACTTCTCTTTTTTCTAGGTTCCGATAATATGTTTTTCATTTCCTTTTGAGCCCTTACCAGCAGTGCTTTTACTATCCTTTTTACCAATCATCAGCTTATGATGATTTAAATATTCTCTAAGACTATGGGTTTTCTCTACTGTGCCTCCTCACTTCCTTCTGAGTCTTTACTAGTAGAGTAGTTAAAATCTGTATTTCTACTAATAGTCATTTCAAAGTAGTCTAGGCTTTTTCTATCATGCTTCTCAAAATTCACTCAGTATCTACCCTTTATTCAATTCCAAAGCCACTTGCACATTTTTAGGTATTTGTTATAATAGCATCCCGCTTCCAGTTACAGCAATCTGTATTAGTTTCATATTGCTGCTTTAACAAATTACTGTAAACTTAGTGTCTGAAAACAACACTAATTTATTATCTTACAGTACTGGAGGTCAGAAGTCCAAAATAGGTCTCATTTAGCTAAAATCAAGGACAGAATGTGCCAGGTATGCTATATAAGAAATTCTCTTAGACAAGGTGTCATTTGATTGGAGACCAAAAAGTACTGGGGAATTAAGACATGAATATTTTGGAGGAGAACATTTCAGAAAGAGAAAATGAAAAGTGCAAAGATACCATGGTATGAACTTGGATGAGTTTTTAGATGTTTAAGGAGTAGTAAGGATGCAAATGAGATTTACAATGAGAGAGAGAGAGAGAGAAGAATAGAATAAGATGGAGTCAAGCAGGTAGAAAGGTGACAGATCACAAAGGGCTTTGTAGTCTATGGCAAAGATTTGGATTATGCTTGGAGGGAGATGGATGTACATTGCCAGAAGCTGGCAAAAATCTGACTTATATCTGAAAAGATTACTGTGGTTGCTATGTTGAATACTAGCTGCAAGAAGGCAAGAGTGGAAGCAGGTGTTCCTAGGGGGAAATGATGCTGACTTTTATTAGAGTGGTAGCAGTGGTAGTGTGAGAATTTGTAGCTCATTCTGGATATATTTCTAATGTAGAGTTCATGTGATTTACATGATAGATTGGATGTGATGTGAGAGAAAGAGAGCAATTAAGAATGACTTCAAGGATTTGGATTGAGCATTTGATTAGTTGTAGGCACTATTTACTGAACTGAGAAAGATTAGAGAATGAGGGCAAAATTTAAGTTTTGGATATGTTTAGAGTGAGATACTTATCTGACATAGAGATGCTGTGGGGTCTGATAGTCATGGGAGACTGGAGTTTAAGGGAGATACTGAGGCTAGATATATACTTTTGGGAATCTCAGCATAAAAGTAACATTTAAAGTTGTGAAACTAGATAAAATACCAAGGGAAGCCATTTTAGAAGAGAAGTGGTGCCATAATTGAGCAAAGAGGCATTCTTGTGTTTGGAAGTCAGGAGTATGAAGAGAAACCAGCAACAGAGTGTGCTGACAAGCAGGCAGTGGGGAATGAGCAGGTCCAAGAGAGAGTGAGGTCTTGGAAGCCAAATGAAGACAGTCGTTTAAGAAAAGAGCGATCAATGTGTCAATTACTGCTGAGAAGTCAGTAAAATAAGTAAATACCACAAAATAACCATTTATTTTGGCATCCTGGAGGTGATTGTGTTTTGATGGAATCAGGGATACAAAGGCCTGATGGAAGTTATTCATGGAGCTCCAAGGATCTTTATAATCCACCTAACAAAAAAGAATCCTTACTGCAATTCTACAGTTTGACAAATATGTCAAACTTTATGCTATGCAATTTGTGGCTGACTAGTAGTATAAATGTTGGAGTTTCTTTGAAGTTTAGTTAAAACTTCTAAGTTAGTCATCTAGAGTTCCTTTATTTGCAAAACCCCCAAAATGTACTAGCTTTAAGTTGTCTAAATTCCTTACCTTCAATCATCTTCTTCTCATTATAAGGCAGACGAGTCCATAAAAATGGAGAGATTGATATAACTGAGGAAAATTCCATTTCTCTGGGAGAACACAACTCAGTTCATGCAGAATAGTTTGAGAGGCACTTTGCTTTAAAGTTTTTACCCCATTTTCTTATGGTGCTGACAGAGATTGAATACTCCAGGTCAGAGATTAGTCATAGGGATTCTTTAGTTGAAAATGCATTCATTCTCTTGAGACCAATGAATATGTTAGTAATTAGTGTTGTTTAACTGCATATTTCTCTCCTCTTAGTAAAATCAATTATCAAAACATTGTTAGCTTATGTATGACTCCATATCTCTAAATCAGAGACTCTATATTTGGTATCTTTTGAAAGAAAAATAACATAACTGTAAAGCACATAAAGTACTGAAACTTGGAGCCAAAAAAAAAAAAAAATTCTCCTTAAGTATTCTGCCAATGTTTATTAGTTTCTTTAAAATACAATGTATAAATGAAAACTATTCCATACACTTATAGTCTTATGTTTTTTCATTTCCTTTCCTCAGAGGGGAAATTTATAGAGGGCACGGAATAGACAAATGCCAGGAGAAGCTGATTGGGAAAATGAGGGTGTAAAAGAAATTAGCAAGATTGAATTTATAATCTGAAACTGTGATCTCTGAAGACAGAAATTCATCTTCCGTGTACCTGGCTTGATCTAGGCAAATGTTGGGTTTTGAAGGAGTTAGAATTTGCTATTTTATACCTCTTATACTCTTGCTGTCTGCCTACTTCCCTCTTGTTGGGGATGTTCCCCTTGCAATGCCGCAGACATATCATTTCATATTTCAGTACCCTCTGAAATTCATCAGTCTTCATCCTAAGAATATTTTCTCATCTAGATCATAAAGTGTACTCTTGGATTTTAATCTGGTCAACAATCTGTGCTAAACATTTCTTGGTTTAATTTCAGATTAAAAAACAAACAAAAAAAACAGCCAACCTACCAGGCTTTGTTTAGGTTGATTGTAAAAGCAAGCAGAAAGGGGAAAATAGATGAGGAACAGTTGGCATGTGACCAACTCCCAGATATACCTATAAGCACAAAACTGACTCCGGATATGTGATTTCAGGAAAGGATTCAGAAAGCTTAGTATTGGAAAATGCAGGTCCCATTAATTGGAAGGAGAATGATTGGTCACTTTTTTCTTTTTGTCATGGGTTTATATTTGCTTTCTCATCCACACTTTATTATTTAATTTCAGTAGATACCAAAGGAGCTACTACGTGTTATTTTTAGGAACAAGACAGACCCAAGTTCAAATCCCAGTGTTGACGCTTTCTGGTTGATTTTACCCAGTTACCTACCTTATATGTGCCTCAATGTCCTCAAACGTAGAAGGGAGACAACCCCCTACATCCTGAAATTGTTGCAATAAGCATTATATCAAGCAATTTATGAAAAAGGACTAGTGTTAAATATAGACCCTGTAGATATTAATTGAAAAATAGAATAATACATATCATTGCAACAAATAATACATTTGATAACTGTGTAATAGGTATACAACAAAGGAAGCTTGTGGGAAACTATGTCTGAGATATGGACATTTTCAGTTATAAATAGGAAGACTTTTTGACTCATTGTAAAATGTTAAGTGCAGAAATGTGTATTACAAAAAAAGTTTGAAATCTTAATAGATTCATTCACTAGGAATCATCAAGGTGAAAGAAATGTGGAGGATTAATAGTATCACATCAAAATTAAGTATTCACTATATGAGTTACATTTTCATATGTCATTTCAGAAAATTAAGAGATTATTTATCCATCCCAGATAAAAGGTTATCATATTAGATTTCATAAATGAATAGTGATTCTGCTTCCCACACTGTCTATCAATCCATCTATATGTATGTATCTATGTTTTTATATATCCTATTAGATGTAAAACACTTAAAAGTGAATGTCAACAAAATTTCAAATTACAGTTAAATTTAGGACACCTTAATCTCTAATCACCTTTGTACCTGATCTCAATTTTTTCTTTGAAATTTGGGAGAATTATATAGATTATCATACAATTTAGTCTACAATTTGAGTTAGAATTACTGATAACAAAATGCGGATCTGCAGTAATAACACATATTTGAACTGAACAGATTGCATATAGTTGGGGCTTCCAAATGATTGTCATGAAAAGTGTGTAACAGCATTGTTATTTTACACTAGGAAGTTGTGGCCTAGAAATAATGCCTGACTTCATCCCAAGCATTTTGGTCATCCTAATACACAAACAGTAATAAACCTCAATGTCTTCTGGAGAATGAAACTCTGAATCATTTAATAATACAAACAACAATATTAACTGTTATCAGACTTTGGTTTATTGTAAAATTTAGCAAAGTTTTTCTAGCAATCCCTGACCCTTGCTCTGAAAACAAAAGCAAAAACGTGATTATTGCTTATTCTTTCTCCCTACTTTATTTGCGCCACTATAAAGGAAGGGAGAAAAATCATTGTAATAAATAAAATTAGAGATGTAAGAGAGAAAGGTAAATCAGTCTAGATAAGAAATATTAGGAGCAACAGAAATATCATCAAGCAGTTTCAAAATAAGCTTCTTTTTAAAAGGCTGTTATATAAAAAAAATCACACCAAATATGTAACAGCAGAGAAGAAAGATAAATACAAGTTAATTGCACACCAATCCCATGCAAAAGCCTAGTTCATTAGCCAAAGCAGTAGTATTCAGAATCCAATTTGGGATGCTTGTGCAGTGCCTGGGAGTCTTCTATTATGGCGCTGTCACCGAATTGTTCCAAGTCTGACGGGGTTTGATGGCCTGAGACATCATCTGCCAACGTGTCCAGATAGCTCCCCACAGAGATACCATCCAGCCCATCACTGTCATCATGTAGGCTACTGTAGCTGCCACGTAAAGAGGTACTCTGACTCTCCAATAAACTGCACAGGCTGCCACTGAGACTGCTGCCTCGGCTAGTAATAGTGGCTTTCTCTTCAATCATCCACTTGATGGACTCAATGCTCTCATTGATAACAAGCAACTGGCGCATGAGCCTGACATCTGTGGCTCTGAGATTAACCTATGGAGAAGGGAGAGAAAGGAAAGACATGACAATTATTCTGCATTCATGAAAGACCCAAAATTCATTTGGATTCTGTCTCCTTCAGTCCATAATTTTAAATTCACAGAATTAAAATATAAATTCACTTGATCTCAGGATGTTTTTGAAAACTGCTGACCAGTGTTAGGAGTCATAATCAAAGAACTCACTTCCTGCCAGACGCATCAGATTCCCAAAAGGATAATAAAACTCCCACTCCATCCCTGACCCTAACCAAGATGACTGGAAATATCATATTGAATGTCATATTATCTGCTAAGAAACTTATTCTCTCTCTGGCCAGACTAATAGTTTATCTGTGTTTACTTGGGAATACGTGTACATATGTTGAGAGGTGGGGAGAAGAGGAACGTATAGAAATTAAGGAGTCGTCATATCATCATTGCAGCAGCTCCTATTTTTTGAGTGATAATGTGCCAGGCATCATTATAAAAGCCCAACATTCGTTATAGTAGCAACCCTGCACCATAGGTATTATTATTATTATTCTCCCCATTTTACAGATGAAGAAAAAGAGAAAAGAGTACAGAAAGGTCCATATATAACTATATTGACATATATATAGTACTGAATAATGCCCAAATTGTTTTAAAATTCCCTGAATCCAAAAGGGAACCAATACACTAGGCTGATCCACTGTACAAGATGAAGTATCTAGATGTTTTATGTAGATCTGATTATTTGCTTCAGATATTTCAGGGCCAACCCCTATCAAAATTGGAATATGAGGCTCTGAGATGGTCTAAAACTCCCCTAAGTGCCTTCTAAGTGTATAGTTCTTCTGAAAGTTCTAAGTTCCTTCAAAGAAATCTTCAGAGCCGCAGAGCAGACTTTCTTTGTAGGCCTTACAGTTCAGTGGGAACATCTGCTGCAATAACTCTCTTGATTGCCTTTGTTCTTGGAGTCAAAGAGATGTGGCTCCTATAGACTCCAGTGCCTGGACTAGGAGGCAGGACATGGCCACTAGAGATCCGAGTTACATTTATTATAGTTTCAAATGGATTCTTGTTTTTCAGTTGGGGTCTTTTAGAGGCTGGGTTCTAATTCTATCTTTAAGATCCAGGGTTAATTCAGATTTGTAGTTTTCTAGAATCATCAAAGGCACTCAGTCATGAGTGACTCAAGCCATAAGAGAGAAAGGAGCCTATTGTCTTCAAATGTATGCATTCATATTGTAAAAATGTTTCCTGGTTAGGAGTTAATCCATAACTGAAGGTGAACTTTGGATTGAGTGTGACAAACAAACATTAGGAGAGTTGGAATTTCTACCAATGATTTCAAAGATGTAAGATTACAGGTTAAAATATATATGTATAAATATAAGAAGCATGAACTACAATTTAAAAACCCTTAATTTTGCTAGGATATTAAATAAAGTAACGAGTAATTTTCTTATCTTCTCTGAGAAAAGCACCAAAAATAAATCCTGTAGAAAGTAACCAGTGAAAATCATTTCTCTATAAAATGTTCACAAACAGAAGGATGTGAACTTAATAAGTCTTGAGATGTTTTTCTATTTGTGGTGTTGTCTCAGTGAACTTGCAATAATGTTGTGTTGGAGAAGGAGGTTTTCTGGCAGTCTTTATGTTCAAATTCACCCACACATCCCATGAACTATCAAGATACTTTTCAAGTTACACGTAATACAATAAATATTTACAAACTGGCAACAATTTGCCTAGGTCCACTGACAAGCCTAGAAAATCAATATGAGGCAAAGTCTTACAGAATTCTTCAGTTAGGCATCTGTAGCTGATAAAACTCACTGTGCCCATTGTAGGCCTGGTGCAATATAAATTTATGTGACCGTTTCTCAAGGGCTCCCCAAATGAACAATAGCTGCATTTGTTCACATCCCCACCCTGTCCCATGGAAATGTTCCGGCCCATGCCCAGTTCTGGGTATGTTCCCTATTATTCCCCTCACTTGAAATACTTTACTCTCTTCTTCTCTAAATCCGCTCCATTCTTGAAGTCCTGCTTCTTCCAGCAAGCACTACTTGCTGATTCCAGCCTCCTCTGCAGTTCTTTTAGTTTTGTATCTCACAGTACTGTCTTATATTATACTGTCTTATATTGCTACCTTTATTGTGTGTTTTTGCTGTTTCTTAAACTAAGCTTTAAGTTCCTTTAAGAAAGAAGGCATGTCTTACATTTCTTCCATCTCTTTGTCTGCTCTAAGCATTAATTTTTTTTTCTTTTTTTTTTAGAAATAGCCATAATTTTAGGATCTATGAAATTTAAGTTCTTAAGACAAAAATAATACACATTCCCAGCAACTGTGTTATTCAGGGGTTAAAACATACTTAGGATAATTTTTCAGTAATTTTTGTCTGAACTATACAGTGGCTGCATCAAATAGAAATTTTTAAAATTTTATTGAGCAATATGAATAAGAGGGGTATAGACTCTGAAGTAACAAAAGCTTCCTTTAATCACGACACGATTTATTTAGATTAAAAAAAATCTTTTCTGAAAGCAAATATTCACAGTCCATTGAACTCTTTTAGGGAAAAAAATGACGAAAGCAAGTCAGCTAGAACGTGTTGATCCGGCCAATAATGATTACAGGTTTACTGAATCTAACTCTCTGTCCTCCCAGTGAGAGAGTAAACAGCTTCCCACTGTGGGAGCGCTGGGCCAGCTGGTTCACACGGCTGCTTGTCCATTACCTGGAGCTCCAGGCTGCTTGCTTCACACTTACTGCTTTCTCTTCGAATTAAGGTGTGGTTATGCTACTACTGATGAACCCTGAAAGTATGAGCAATCCACCGCACACAGAACTAAATCACAGTGTCACTTCTGTCTCTAGTAGCTGCCCCACCTATCTTCACAATTATTCTTGTCCTTATGAAGTCTGGCCATGGATTAAGAAGAGAGTAGACTTGCTCCATTGACAGGAAACTGAGATATTTTCACTTGAGGTCTTATAAGGTCCTGTGACTTCACTCTGAGGATATTGAGAGTTGGGAGGTCCTCATTATGGTTTGAGTTTAAGTGTCTCCTTCTTGAAGAGCCCCTTTCTAATTAGCCATTCTATCCAATACCCGTACCGCATTTCTGGTTTCTTTTGCTCTTTATAATATTTATGACTAGTTGAAATCGTTCTGCTTATCATTTGTTAAGACAGGAATTGGTCTGTCTTGTTTGCCACTCTGTGCCCAAGACCTACCATAGTACTTGGCACATAATAGGTGCTCAATTAATATTTATTCAAGGGCCAAATGATTGCTTCAGATTGGACCATCTGTCAGGAACACCCCTCCCTTGGGGTTTGCTGTGGGCCAGTGATATGTGACTTGAGAGGAAGGAAAGAGGCAGCTTCTGGAAAGAGCATTTTTGTATTAAAGTATTGCCGGCATGCAATCCCATTCCTATTCATTCACAAGACTCAGACACTGAGAAACTGGTACAAAGTTATTCTGAGCTTAAAAATACAAAATAAGAGATAGGAAGGAAGTGGACTTGAAGGTGTGAATCACTCTCCAAACGTTATTCTGTTTGTTCGGAGGAGGCGATTATAGGTACTAGCACACATAGGTGTTCTGTAAACACTTGGTGAAATGAGTTAAACAAAGGGAACAAATCAACAAATAGGACATTTACAAAAAAAACTCAAAAACAAAAAGACCTGTTCTACTATTGGTAAAGGGATGTGGGTGTCCTTTCCTCTTTTCTTCAGCCTCTTTACTCTAGCCCTTCCTGGTAATTCACTGTGGTTCATCTTCATACTTGTCTCTCATGTTTCACAATTGTAACATAACAGGTCTTTGTACTGAAAACTGAATGAATTCTGAAATTTCATGTCATTTTTGAACAAGTGGTGAATTAGGCCTATTGTAGAACTTGAAATGAGGGATCTTGAAAGAGCAAATACTATTAATAATAAACTTTTCTAGATCTATGTTTTCTTTCAGAGTATCATTTTATTACTGAAAGAATACAAAGATTTTGAATTGGCTCAGTAGAATCCAAGAAAGAGAGAATGTGGTCAAATTTTCAGTTAATAAAGGAGTTGCCAAACAAGTTAACTTATTTTGTGGTATTATATGAGGAACATGGTATGGGCTTCTGGCCTGCCACTGTATACCTCTGTGACCTTTGGGCAAGGTGGCTTAGCACTTAAGACCTCAGCTTCCATATACCTGAAAAAAAAAAATTGTGGAATTATATTCCGAGCTGCAGTGAGCCACTGGACTTAGTAGAGGTAGTAAAGCAGTCTGTGAACCAAGACTAATTTCTACCCAATAATGAAGATTTAAT